AACGAAGTCGCGAGCGAAAGCTAGTTTATATAAATGTATTATGGAAAATGGAACATCCCTTCACCTATTTTATATTCAACTTTTGGCTGCTATCCATGAATTGTGCAGTAAAATTCCCAAATTACTACAAACCGACTTTCGTGAGAGGTGTTGCGCAAATGAAGGAGTCTAAAAGTGCATCAGAACTGGATTTGGGTCAGCGCCAGCGCATGCGACTGGGAAAATCAATTTTCAGAAATAGATCTATTCCAGAACACAGAGGATAACAATGTATTGAACTCTTTGTATTAAATGCAATAGCAAATAATTAGCAACCAACTATCTTAGAATCAATAAATGACTACCAATGTTCTAATATCCACACTAAGACATCATCATCAGAAGCACTACAGCCGCGGGGAAGCCTGGGCCTGGTCCGGTAAATTCCTCCATATCGGTCTATCTTGGGCATTTTGTTTCCAGCCCTTAAGTCGGCATTAAGGTCTCGTTCGACATCATCTTGCCATCTTAGTTTCCGTCTCCCGCGTGATCTATGTCCCTCTGGTTGACTCTCTAATAGGCGCTTGGGCACTCTGCAGTCACTCATTCTCGCTACATGTCCTGCCCAACGTAGCCGACCAATTTTGATGGCCTTGACGACATTTGGCTCATTAAAGATTTGGTAATGTTCGTGACCACACTAAGACGTTGTTTGATTAAACCCATAATCTAATTTTAGTGCAGCAGTATTTAGGAGAAAAGAATCACAAATAATGCGACAATTTGATTAGAGATATAACTCTAATATCAGGCAAAATTAAACATGTATAAAGAGAATTTCAAAGTATCACTTCATAGTCGCTAAGCGACCGCAAATAATATATATAGCGTTATTAAGCAATAATACATATATACACATATCTGTGGTGAATGAACATATTGAGAAATTACGTCACGGAACGCAAGCTTTACTAGAAATGTCCTATCTAACTTTGTTTCTTGCTAATGATTCTCCCATCGCAAATATTCTCTTATACAATTTGTAGTCGTTTTTGCACTT